CCGTTCTATTTGATCCGTTTCTCTATGCGAAGCACTACGTTGAAAGTCTTGCGATTCTATTCAAATATGAAGTACCCTCTACCAACTTCTTTTTCATGAACTTCTTGGAGATCATGCTCCGTCTTTCCATACAGCCGCGACAAAATGGACAACTTTGTAATTTCTCTTACTCAAGTTTTTGAGATATCTCGGGAAACACTTAAACTGAGTTATTGCTTCGCAAGTATACTTTGAATGCAATTTTCTGAATTTTTCTGAAATTTCAAGACACATACCTGTTTATTAGAACTCGACAATCAGACTAGTACAGTTCTCGCATTGAAATAATTAAAATTAAAATTATGTTGTCGTATCGAATTAATTAATTAATTAATCGGATTTCTGTTACGCTCTGAAATTTTTCAACTGCTAATTTTTCCGGGTCGCATTTCAGCTCCGTTCTCACAGTAGAAATTTTCAATATTGTTAACCAATAACTTTTGTCTCAATCATCAACATATCACGAATAAAATGAATTAAATTATTGATCGCTGCCCCTACTGCGTTTCGTCAATTTCGTTGTTATCATTTCCGTGGATTCATCAGTACATGTGAATAACGTTGGGTGCGTTTCTTCCCCTTGAGCACACTTTTCGAGATGCGAGTCGAGCTTCATCGCCTCTCTTTTTCCGCGCACTTGCAAAGTCTTATCCCCGATCGCGGACTTCCATTTCGAGCTCGTTTCTGCGAGCTGCCGAAAATCCGTTCTTTCCTCCTTCACATTTCGCACAGGCGACTCGACGTCGCCGTTCCCGACTTCCATCTTTTTTCCTTCTGGTTTCTCATGTATAACCTCGATCGTTCGTGGCCGCCAGGAGTCACGTTTGCTCAACGCGATTCTCTTCTGCCAAGCACGCATTTCCCTTCTGGCTTCCTCGACTTTGTCCGCGAGTACGTTCGCCAGCGGTTCGTCCTCCTCCAAAAGTATTCTTCTCTTTTCGATTGACGAATGCTCCGGCAACTTTTCCTGAAAATCGAATAACTTACGTCGCCGTTGGGCGATAATCCACGAATATTTCTCCTCCTCCGATGCAACTTGAGTCTGTAATTCGGTCTTCCTCTTTTCTAAAATATACAAATCGAACGTTGAATAAAAATGACGATATTGATATATATCTATAATAATTTTATTTTGATTATTTTATAGATTAATTCAGTTATTTTATTATGAAAATTAAATTGTTCATAAAGTTAACTAATATTAGTTGTTATGTTCAATTCTCAAGATTATTGCGCTTTGTTAGAATTGTAATATAATGGTATTAGTATACATACTACTAAGATCATTATAAAGATTTTGAAAAAATCAACATTTAAAAAAAATTGTGAATAATTCTGAAATTACTTTATTTTATATTAAATTATTTTATTTTCACAAATAAGAATTGCAGTTAAAACAACGGCACATTATATTTCTTCCACCAGATGAAACGTCATAGAGTCGATATTCCCCCTGAGACCAATTATATTATGGACACTTCAATGCACCCTCGACGTGTCTAAAATGCCCGATGGGAAGACGACGAATGATATTCGCTTTACTGCTCTAATCTAACGCTAGGGTGATTTCATCCTACCCAATTTTGTTCTATCGCTGCTGTTGATGCTGCCCTTATTTTGCATTTATTTAATATCCAATCTAAACTTACCCCTTAGATCCTTCCTATAGAAACTCTCGCAATAACGTTGCAACAGTTACAGTCGAAACATGTTTTTATGTGATACATTATACCTGCTTTCATATTATTTTGTCTTCATATGTGCATTGAAAATATTTTTTGTTTTTAATATTTATTTATAATATTTTTTGTTTTTTTGAAGAAACAACTATAAATAAATTTTTAGAAACGAATCTTTAATTTAAAATCCAACGAGATTTAGAGTTGAAAATATTAATTTGGAAATATATTATATAAACACAAGTTAAATATATATTATATTAATCCTAAGTCATATTGTTATTATTAAAAATATTGATAAAATATATTTAAATGTATTTAGAATTAACGTGTCGCTTCTTTACTTCAAAATGCAGCTTAAAAAAAAGTGATTTTCAAATTATTATAAATTAGTTAAATAAATATTACTCTATTAATTATCGAAAATAAATTAACTCTTAACAAAATCGTCAAAACGTCACAACTTGAAAAGAGTGGTTTTTTTTCCGAGGAAAAATATGGATTGTAAAATAATGACAAAAATGGCATTTATTCTATCATAGAATAAAAACATACTTTTCTTGGCGATATTATTCGATTAATCAATATTTTCCTGTCAAGTTGAAAAGAAATTTTTCCCATTTTCTGAGAAATTCAATTTTTTGAATTGTGTCATGTTTGAAACAAGGGAATGGTATGCATTCAATGACATATTTCACTAATGAATATTGATATTCAATAGCGGAGTATTTTAAGAATAGTGAAAAAACATTTCTACTGGAACAGTCAGCGAGATATTGCACGTCATAGTTGCTGGCGAAACGACAGAATCATAATGCATCTTTGATGGTACATAACAAATGATAGTTTAATGGCGCAAGCTCCTGCGGTTGTACAGCATGCGCATATCTGGTTTAAGAAATGAATTATAGTGGCGCAAGAATATGACAGATGTACATGAAGTGTTGTTTGATAAAATCTTTCTGTCAGCGGTTCTTTCATAGAAAAGAAATTGAACAGAAATTGAGGGGAAAAATTGTCAAAGCTCAATTTCTTAATTTCATCTTTCACGCTTTCCTTCGAACTTGCCAACGAATAAAGCGAAGTGAGACAGCTAATCAATTCTCATTGGATAAATTCATGCGCGGACATTTGTTCTACGTCCTTCATTAAGAAGCGGCGTTGAAAACTGTCTTAGTTTCACCGTCTCGAATTACGCTGGCGTATCTAAACTAAACAGCCAAAGAGAAACAGCACTCAAGAATCTCGAGTGGAACGCATTAATCTAACTGGGCGCAGTTGGAATAAACGCGTACGGCATGCTTTAAAATCGACCACAGTCACGACAGAGACGTTCTTAATTAAGCTGTCCAATTGTGTTACAGCATGAAGGTGTCTCCTATATGCCGGATCGACGAAACATGATATTGATGGGAGACAAGTGAGAAGATGAACAAATCAAAACAATGAACGTTTATCAATGTTTCCAGCTGACGTGGCGCTTTGATCACGGTTTCCCACTGAAACGTTTTTACGAAATTATCTGCTTTTCTCGCGTTTTTCCACTTCGCGGCGCTATCAATCTGTCCGCCGCGATATTTCTTGTACCACGTTGTCGCTGCTCAAATATGAAAGAAAATTACATAATACTGCCGCTATTGCAGGCTCAAATAAAGCCGTGCAGCCAAGGAAGCTCGGTATTATCGGATCTCGCCAAGCTTTAAGAGATCTCGTTATCTTGTCCGTCCACGTCGTCCCAAGCGACGCGACGCATGGAAAGTGAAAAAATAGATCACCTTACCGACCCGATAGTAACGACGTTTACGCTGTCGTTGGAAACGGAAATTTACCTTCCAGATCTGCGCAACAGATTTCCGGCTTGCAAACTTCAACGGCACAGACTTTGCTTAAAATCTGTCGCTGGCGATCCTTCACGATCCCTTTTGGTTTTATGAATGGCGCTTCTATTTTTGCAACCGCCTCATCTTTTTCTTTGTCAACTTTTATCTTTTTTATCAAGGATCTCGTTAGGGATATGGCGCTCTTATCCTTTAGCGCTCTTTTCCTTTCTTTATTTTTAACTAGCTTTTGCGCATTTTTGTTTATTTTCTCCTCTACCTTCGCTGAATCACGCATAATCTTTTTCTTGCGCAGTGTTTCTTGCATAAGACTGATCATCTGTTCGGTTTCGGGATCCAGCTTTGGATAACTCGCAAATTCCTGAAAAACATTACAATCGTGAACTTCTCGTAAGAATTTATATGGCATAAACTATATAGATATACTTGATGTGATATTATATATATATATGAAAAATTATGCTTATTATTATCTGTTAACCCTAAAATGCTATCACTGTTGAATGATACAGTATTGACATGTCAATTTTATGCATAAAGAAATACTCTGTTAGAAATGCTTCCTTTACATATAAATGAGGCTCGTGGCTATGAACAAAATTGAAAGTAATAAATGATTTAATTGAAAATTAAGTTACAGTAATTACTTTTCAGTTATAAATACATTAAATTTAATGTAATGTCATGAAATTAAGTTTAAATTATGTTACTTAAAAGTATATTAAATTTTATGAAATTTTTAACGATGTAGACTACTTAATTAATGTAACACATATTTATATTATACTTTTAATAACAAAATACTTATAATCTAAATTTTTATAAACACAAATAGCCTAATTATTAACTTAAAAGGAAAAAAAGAATAAGCACACTATCAAATTACATTTTTTTTTCATACATTTAAATAAAACATATAATAACATAAAACTGCTTAAAAATTGAAATCACTTATCACACTCCTTGTTATAATATTAATCACCAGACAAGTGATATATAACAAACAGAATTTTTAAACCCTGTCTCCGTTTGGTTTAACAGATTTAACCTCCTATAACTGAAGGTATAGCTTAACGTTCAATAACCTCGTTTATTTGTACTTAAAATTTGCGTATGGATATAGCATTTTGTGATTAAGGAACTCTATTTTGTTATCTAAATTAGATAGATAGCAAATTAGTTAAACTTATGTTTTAAATGTTTAATGTTTCGGTATTACATATGTGTAGTGATTATTATTTAATGTTAAAGCAGAAAAACTAACGTATTATTTTTCTACCATCATAAATGAAAGTACCTATAATAACGATCATTAATGTTTCAAGATACGCGAAAATACACGTTCTGAATAGCACAAAAGAAAATTTTATACCAGCGGTAAGTGCACCTTTTCTTCTTCTCGGCTACTTAAGTTTTTTTCTTTACCTTCTTTACTGTTTGAAAAAATGCCGCTTCTGAATCCACCAGTTCTTCGAAGAACGTGTCGTCCTTTTCCAATCTTTTCATCCGAGATTTTTTCTTTGGGAGGTCGCCCTTTTCTTTAACTAACATTTTGTTCTTACTTTTTTCCCGATTGTTTCCTTTCTTCATTGATATAAACACCGAGCGGTCCATTGCGGAATCTTCATGAATGCTAGGTTGCATCAAGCGTATTTCTTTCAATTGTGCATCAACGATTTTCTTAAAACGACTACACCTCTCGAAATACTACGGTAAAAAATACATTGCTTTTCGCTTTCGATCAACGTAAAATGTGAACTGATGTAAGATCAAAGTTGGAATATATGAACTCAAAATGTATTAATTCGAAAAAGGTAACAATCAGTAAAGTCCAAAATCGTTACATTAGTTAAGCAATGCAAACCATTAGCAAAATTACGTTTGTACTTCAGAGTGGTGTGGAAATTTAAATTAAATTTGAATTGTCAATTTTCTAACAAGGGAATCATCGGAATTGTTTTGTTTGATGAGCTTTAGATATGTTGTTAGAGAGAGCATAAAAAAATATTAAACTCATATTTTTTAAATTGTTTATCTCAAGATTTAGAAGTTAAACACTGAATTAAATAACAGATCTTTTGTTTATTTTCAGCGAATATCCTCAAAACTATGAAATATATGAAAAAAAGTTTTATATAAAAATTTTATTGAATTTTATATTTTTGGTAATGGTGTATTTACATTTTTTTTTAATGTCGAAAATAAAAAAAATCTGTTATTTTCAAGTTGTTTTGACTTTTAAATCTGAGAAAAGTAGATAAAAAAATCTAACATTTTCTGATATTTTACTTATATTTAAAATCCATAAAGATAGATAAGGAACAGTTTATAGACGATTCCCTTACAAGATATACATAGTTACATAATTGTTACCCTTTTTAACTGATAGTATTGTACATTTCAAAATACTCACGGCAGTAAGATTTGCCTTGTCAGTATTAGTGTTAATAATGTGTCCGTCAGAACATTCCACTAGATATATATTTCCATCATGACTGCCGACTGCTAAGAGTTGACCGTTCTCATGAGGCGTGATGGTCGTGAGACTGTCGTTGCAGACACGAAACGTGGTCACCGGCGAAGCCACGCCGCTCAGAATGTCGTATACCTCTAACAGACCCGTCGCATTTATGGTGAAGAACACTGAGTACCTGGATCTGCTCCAACAACCTCCGCGTAAATCAGCATTCTGTTCACTGTGCGTACAGAATTTCATCTACTTGATCTTTACCGAGCTGTATATTCTATGATACGATGACAACGTTAACTTCGAAACTGCGCCGACAAGAATGGTAATAGAAAGCTTCAACGCTGATAAACAAGACATTAGTCGAAATTGCGAGATGCATACATGTATCATTCTGTTTACGTGAATAGCTAGCTGCTTTGCTTTGTTTCGCCCTAAGTGTATTCATAACTCTATTCTACTTTTTGTGAGTTGACTAATTTGCAGTCAGATATACACGGCACAATAGTGATAATAGAGCGCACTGGAGCGTCTATGTAATCCTAACATACATAGTAAATTTATGTTACAATGAAAATGGGGGAATGTTATTAGATACATGCAATAAAGTTCTTGCGGTTTATTTATGAGGCAATTTTCAAGTATATATTCCAATGGCTGTGTTCAACATAAAAAGCAGCTTTGCAACTGTTGTAAAATTTTTTAAAATGATTCGCTTATACATTTAGATTCAGAGAAATTGAGGCCAAGACTAATTATATTACAAAATTTTACAATAGTTGCAAAGTTGTTTTATTTGTTGAATGCAACCAATGTCTATGTATGTAGTTCCATTTTTAATAATTCTTATAATAAACAAAAGTTGGAACTAAGCATAGAAGCTATTAATTTACATTACATAGGCATTAGTTTTAAATTTGATCTAAAAAGCAAAAAAATCCAATTAGATTTAATTAGATCCTTGACATCTAATTGATCTATTTAAATTTAAAAAGCAAACAATGTCTGGTTTGTAATTTATTTCGACGCTTACTTGGCAAAATCTTTTTCACAAATGATATATCAATAATAAGTTTCCTTTTATTTTACAGCTTATATTGTTTATTATAAAAATTATTATATGGCGCTGCACACATAGGCAACGACATTAGTATACTTGAAAATTGCCCTTCAAATAAACTGTAAGAACTTTTGCACATTACGTGATACGACACACTTAACTCAAATAATTTCAAGTTAGACGTGTTTGTAGCTTTAATTCGCAAGGTTAGTCGATATGTTTACGTTGATTAAACTTAAGGAATCTTACCGAATGGTGATCAAGTAACCCTCTCTGATATCTTCCGACCAGATCTTGACGGTCCAATCGCCTACGGTAAGGAAATTTTTGGTAAAGAAGGGGTTTCGATCAATAGCGATGACAGGGCCGACGTGACAGTTGAATCTCATTGCCAGTTTATCGACCGGATTCATGGCTTTTCGTCTTATGTTGATCACCATGCCATTCTCCATACCCGCCAGGAATCTATCTCCTATGTTCGGCTGCAGCTTCGTGACGCCGATCGCACGAAGGATATCCGCTCGGAGTGGATCATCCAAATCTATCACTAGCTCCTCGGTCGGTTGCCTCATCTTCCTGATATCCCACCACTTAATCGCACCGTCGGTGGATGCCGAGAAGAACTCGTTATTGGACTTGGATTGAATCCAGAGCGTCTGGTTTGCCGGATTTCTTTTGCGCGTCGTCGGTAAGAACGGGAGAAGAAATGGTAGTGACGGAGATTACAATTTGGCATCGAAATGGCAGGCTCTTTGGAAACATTTTGCCACGACGACGGCAGAAGTTGCGACCGCGTTTACGAAACGTATGAATTGTAACGGTCTGTAACTCTCATCGGCTGTGAGTCACTTTACAAACGTTGTTCCTTCACGGAGTCTGCACCGTTTAATTGGTGTGTTGTGAACATTAACGCAGAAGTAAAATTTTACAAGAATCGGTGCAGTCGCAGTTTAAGTAAAACTGTAGTAATTCGGTATTTTTTTTACCCCCTCCTCCTTTCACAACAAGAAATGGAGTTAAGTATTGAAAACAATTAGTAGTATCATAATATTTTCCGACGATTTAACAGTGGTGCAAAGTTATTGAGGAAGTTATAATTATTCATTTAATAATAAAATATCTGGTAATTGATGCCGTTTGAAGCGAAAGTAACAGAAAAAAATGTAAAAATTATTTGAGAATACACACACGTAATAATCTCCGGTGATGCTAAACTCCAATTACGTAAGCTCAAATAAAATTACGTAATGGCTTTTGGTTTACATTTTATGCGCAAGTGTTCACGTGTTTCTAATCGTGTTAACACATTCTCATCGATAGATGCTATATCTACCAAGAACTACATTAATCCAGGTATCAGAAACTACCGTTTGCACGGCTTTACAGCGTTTCTCTCGGAGGATATTTGCAATTCCACAGGCCATACATCAAAGTCAAGCACGTCCAAGTTCTGGCCAATAATCTCGGCGGATAGGTGCAAGTCCCGAGGAACTTCCTATTCGCAGATAGATAGATACCTGTGGCTGAACTGACGATGGGACATTTGCACTGGCCTATCCCCAATTCGGATGTCCCAGTTGCACACTTGGCCAGACATCAGTCCGCTAATCAGCATCGATGAATCGTGTGAGTTAAACTCAACGATTAATAATGGTGATGATGATCTCAGGCATATCACTGGTTTGATTGGGTTCTCTGTATTGAATGATACAGAATTACATTTGCCTATTTTAAAAACTTTTGTTTAATATTATTAAATGACTAAATAATTAAATCAATCCGCCTCGCTTATTAAAGAATTCTCTATCTTCGAAATATATCTATAAAAAAAAAGAAACATTTTACTTGCTTTTTTTTCTTTGCAATGCATAATCGATGAAATTTCTAATTAAAAATTGGCAAACATTGAAAGTATTTTTTCAATATTTTAATACTTTCAGTAACGATAAAACTTAATTCTTTTGAATAAACGAAATATCGTGAAATAATTAACGCAAATATTCATGCTTTTAGTATGAAACTCTCGAAAATATTTCTATTACTAATTAATTAATAATTTTATCTTCTACTGCTTTTTACTTTTTTGTAAAATCTTTATTTGAGACTTGTACTACTAGCTATAAAAAATATTTTACTTTTTGCTTATATTATATATATTCTATTCGTGAAGAAATCATGTTACTGCAAATACATTCGGCTTTATAGATGGTTGTTTTTGTCATGTGATATGTTTCTGTCAATAACAAACACTCCGCATAAATATCACGCATGCGTACGGTCGTCTAGTGTAGATATAAAGATTTATGTCAGTGAGACGCATTTCAAATATTATGAAGGACTTTGAAACGACCAATCGATTTCCGCGACCGGAACCAGAACAAGCGTGTGACAGGACGCGTTTGACGACGACATGATGAAACATGCTTCTGATACGTTGTAAAGCGTGTCAGATTCGACATTCTAAAAAAATTCTGCGCGGAATATTGCATTAGTACAAGAGGATTCAATAAAATTCCAGAAACACTGGACAAGGTACATCTCGCGTGAAATACAAACACGTGTATTTGACAGTTTAAAATAATTTTAAGATTAATGTACATATTGACCTAATAATAAACAATGCTTCTTTTGAATTATAAAGCTGAATTTGTGATCCAATTTCCATTATACGTTATCTTTTCATATGCTGGACAATAATACAAACATTATTGTCTCTAAAAAATAAATTAGATTTTTAAATAAATTCTCTTTGTAAAATATCGCGAAAGATACGTGCATTTTCTGATAGTGGTAAAATACGTGTTGTTGTGCGGTAGTATAAACATTTTTTATACCGATGTCCCATATGTAAGAGGAAGGATTCACATTAGACAGTTTCCTCTCGAACTCCATAAAAGAGTAGGCAGCAGCCAATCGATTCTGTGCACTGGGCGACCATGACAGATGATTAATTGGTCTTACGATAGGTTGTGGATCGGCATACATGTTTAAGGTTCTGGAAAAAAGAAAATTAAAGCTCCCATAAAAATCCGTGCGAAATCGCACTCATGGAAATTCGTTTTCCTCCTTTTGTCTTTTTTCTATCCCTGGACGCGTAAATCATCCGCTCGACGACGCGATAACGCCGTTGCTTTTACACATTGCAGACGCCGTTTCTTTTTGTTTCGTCTGCTTGGTAATACCCTTCGGGAAGCAATTAATTGTAACGACAGTCGTAGATTCTTCGTTAGGAAGCACGTGGATACCATTAACCGTTCGAAATGATGTAATAAGAGCTTCGAGCTTGTCCTGTCGCAACCAAAGTGGTTTGCTTTATTTTGAGAATTTATCAAATATAAAAACACAATATTATGAAACTATCGAATAGATAGAATGCAAAAATGGAACAAGACTTTAAAAGACCATTTTTATTTTATTGTGCAAGTTGTTAAAACGTAAATTTGAATTTGAATTTTTATTTCTTTTTGTTTCTTTCGTGGTTGCTTTCTGATTCTAAAGAGAGGAACAATTTCTTAACTTTTTTATTTTGTACAAAGTTTTTTTAATTTATGTTTTTTAGTTGTTGTCGTTTTTCTAAAAGTTTTCAAATTTTTTCGTAAAGGTAGAGGTGCCATTAATAACAGTAAATTCGAGTATCAATATCGGCGACAGCGATATTTAGAAGCTTACGGTGTGTACATATAGAAGAAAAGCGGATCAATTCGCGCAAAAATCGTGTGAGGCATCCGACAGGCGCAACACGTGTTTCGATGCGCTAGGAAAAAGACGGGGAAAAATTGCAACTTGTGTTAAACAAGCATTGAGAGATGAAAATCCGATGAGATAAGAGAATTTCCCCGCGAGCTTCTCAATGACAGCATCGTCGTCTAGCGAGATGTCGCATCGATTTATGGATTTCCCGTCTTATAAATAAGTTACCGGATATCATACGAAATATACAACAGTACAGTGAAACGACAAATTTGCATAAATTTTATTTTCGACAAATATATATATTATAAATATATTATTAATTATAAATATATTAATCGGAGAAATTTTCGTCGTATATTTGATATTATTGATATTTCCTTGCGCTTTAATACGAATCAGAATTTGTCTCCGGATTTATGAGACCTATTCTTTATGTCTGTACAAGAACGTATTGCACGAGTAGCATCAGTCCCCGACGAAGATATGCGTCGTATGATAATTCCGTACGTGACCGCGATTTGCGGAGAGAGATTTAACTCGTCCGTGGAAGCTTGCGTCGGGCACGTTGAAGCGAGACTTTGAATATTCCTCGGATATCGGGATAGCAGGATTTACAGTTTAATGTATGCCAGTCGGTTAAAAAAAAAAAATAAGTAATCTGATGTACTTTTTAGATTTCATATACCTACTTGAAACTTGAAATAAGGAAATGAACAATTGGGAACAATTGGGATTAGTATTCTCATCGGCTTAAAAATGTAAATTGAAAATGGCGACACATTTTAATCCTTTCTTCTGTTATAACTGAATCGTCTAAAATTGTGAGAATTACTACTGCCTCTTTATAGCGACAAAAATCAGTGATCTCTATAAAATACTGGAATGTGCCATCAAGAAGTGGAGGTGCCTCAATTTCTAGACAATGATACTTTGACGCATAGATTATTGTACTGTTTTCTTTGTCAAGGATTCGCTGTTTGGCTAATGTTATTTTACTACCATAAGTAGGAAAAGATCAGAAAGACAAGTTTGTTTTCCTTTTCTCCGATGGATTTAAATTTTCTATAGTTTGGTATAGAAAAGTACGTTCCAGTATATTGTAAAGTTTACTGACAAAAACGCAACGTACCTCATATCACGGGAAAGAACCTGCGCAGTCGATTCCATATCGTCAAAGTAGTGCTCATAAATGTTGATGATGTTATTCTGCAGTATACAGCGTTCCATAGGCTAAGCGAATAAGTTAATAAATTGATCTTCTTAATAAATTAGTCCTCTTATATTGAGCTTTTTACATTAGAGATTCTTTGGGTGCGTTTAGCACACGCGCTATCAGCACTATTGTATCATTCATTTGTATTTACTGTTCTTTTCTGTTCGTTATACGTAAAACAAGAATTGAATGATGCAATAGTGCTAGTAGCATACTTTTTGAAGGCAGTGAAAATAAATATATTTACCTAATTAAAATTACAAATAAGATTTTACACATATTATATTTTTTAAATCATCTTAGATTATCAGTTTTTAACTATGTCCTTAAAACTGCGATAGAATCCTTGTTTTTATATAGAATATAAAAGTCAAGAATTACATTGAAAAGTTAAAAAACGAATGTTGATATCTTACAGGATTTATTTTTTAATTTAATGCGCTTTAAATGATTAGAAGGTATATTTAATAGTATATTTTAAAGTGTCTCACGTTAGTGAGGTTCTTCATCTTCGGCGCCCAATACTCGTCCCTCATTACGCGCCGACGAAATCTCAACACGGCTTCGTCATCCTTCACGTTTATCTCCTTAGGCCAACCGCCCTCCAAGTGTAACATCCCGTTCTCCTTTGTTACTTTACTAACGGTTTGCATCTGACGTAAAAATAAAAAGAGATCACGTAAACTGTGCGCAATAATATAGTTATAAACGGTTTCGCTTCTCCATTTCTAACCGTTTTTTTATTGCACATGTAAAAACCTAACACCGCCAATACTTAACACTTGAGCACCCTTTGAGAAACGCGTCATGGCGTTAAAGTAGTTCACTTAAAGAGGAAACGCGCAGTCGTCCGTTTTCGCTATGTTTTATACTGCAATGTATATTTTCAGCATAGCGCAGTTTACCTGTTCTGTATACGCAAACTCTTATTTGTTACGGAGTTGCATAAACAATTTATGAGGCATTTTAACTTATCGCACATTTATGGCACATGTTGTTAAAAGCATGTTCACAAATATTGATTTTTTATGTTTTTGTAGAATTAAATCTGTTAAATTTAATTTTTTCATTCCGAGAAATATATGGTTTATAATGTAAACTGATGCGAGATACACTCTCTGTGAAGCAATATAATGTTTGAATTAAAACTTTCCGCGAGTTTTATTTCGTGCTCTTCCTGATTCAAAACTCGGATTTTCGTCGTAAATTTTGCATATTTTTCAGAATCGCATGCGATATTTAATTTAAACTGACATTGCTCTAATTCTCTGAAATGTAAACAAAATATTAGGGAAATTGCTGGTCGACGTATTTACATGTGCGACGCACTTATTAATTCTTGAAAATTAAATGCCGCAAACGCTAAACTCGCTGCAGAATTAGTTCGTTCGACGATGACTCAGCAGAGCTATTTTCATAATCCCACACACACAGCTTTCCCTTAAATCCTAGGATATACAAAGTCTCGAATACAGAAACTCATTAGTGTTTAGACGGTGCTTAATTTACGGATAATCATTTATGCAGCTACTGATGATACATCTCAGAAGCATGCAACATCGTGTTAACATAATAATAGACTAATCGATGCTATTTAGATCTTAATCTAATATAATCTCTAACATACACTTGTCCAAAACTTTCAATATTCTTCAAAATTTATCTACGATGTTCTAATATATTTTTTTTTAAATCAGCTTTTATTTTCATTATTACATATTTCTTTGCATATTTATTGTATTTTTCTTTATTACATAATTTGCTTATATTTTTTTTATTAGAAAGAAAATTATATTAAAACTAATAATTATATATGTAAGAATAAAGATTAATAATGACTAAAAATTAAGATAAATAATAATTAAGAATCATACTAATAAACAAGGAAATTGAAACTTCTCGCTGAAACTTTGTGATTCCTTTTAAATCTACAATAATTTAGTTTCTGAAGAATAACGTTTCGCTGAAGAAGATTCCAAATCGAGTCGAAATGACATTTGATGAACTTTGTGTACAATAATTAAATATTAAAATTATTTGAAAGATTGATTGCGCTCTAATTTCTGCGTTCTACTCTTATTAACTTAAATTCTAATTGTTCAATTTTCAAAAATCTGAGGGATTAAAAATACTTTTCCCCTTTTCTATCGTACAATAATTTACCTCGTGAAGAGCTAATTGCTTGGACATCTGTACACCACGGTGGCAATGACTCACGTGGACGTAGTCTCGCATGAGTTTCGAATCCGGTAGGATATTCTCCTGAACGATCGAGTCGGTCCTTCCGAAGAAACATTGCTTACCGAATTGCGACCTTGGCTTGATGTATGCGTACTGGATCAGCATTATTGGAAACCGTTCTCCAGTTTGTGGGACGAACGTAAAACGAGGAAAGGATGATACACTCACGCAAACAGAAACGAGACACCTCCGTTAAACTATTTAGAGGGCGGGCGAAGGAAATCGACGAACGGTGCAGGTTGCACGTTTAAACGCTGATACTAGTGATACTTTTCACGCACGAGCGCCTGAAGTTGGTCGTGATACGCTCGATATAGCGTGAAGGGCCATTAAGGTGATGTTCAGCTTGAAATACGACACGCAAATGAACCATGTCGTTATGCAACGCCTTGATCGAAAGACTGATGCCGTACACGTGCCTTCGTTAACGATGAATGTGAAATTATAAATGTAAATGTGGAAATTATGGAAAAAGTTCGAAAAGTTCGCAATATTTTTGTAAAAATGAATAAGGAAGTTTAATTTAAAGTCTGATTTCATGATCTTGTTTCCTAATAACGAGAGTAATTTTTCTTTTATTTACGGCAAAAAAAAATCTAAGTTTTTCCGGAGAAATTGCATAAAAACGGATCAGTAATCTCCAATGCGGTACGCTTCTTCTTTGGAAACATTTTCTTCTTTGCTTCGTAGATAGAAAACAGATCTCGTGTCTCAGAGGAATCGTTTCGGATTTCAAAATGGATATGCACAGCTAGGCTAGAGCTTGTGAGAAAAACTTGGCGTAATCTCCTACACGGCGTTCTGTTACAGCAGTGCATCCTCTTTGTGCATCCGCGATTTGATTGCGCGTCAATTCGCCGCGCTGGATGCACTCTATGGAATTACGGTACCGGCCGCGCATTCTCGTGCCGCCGGGCCATCACTATGACATTATCCCTTCGTCGAGAGCACTCACAATTTCTGCGGTCCGCAATCCGGCGTCCGCCAATCAACGCTTTCGCGCCATCCGATAAATCGGATGAGCCCGCCACTGCCCGAGCGCTGCACCTAATGAATCAGATTCGATGCGAAGCCACCGGCATTGTGTGATCGATTATCCTGCGTACGTGGCGACACGAATCTGAAACTTGGCGATATCCCAATGCCAGATTCAATTTGCAAATCCCTAATGGTTGCACGCGATCGGGATGGGAGTTTAAGAAATTTCAGCTGCGTATTTAGCTGTTAGCGTTAAAGCTTAATAGCTCTAATAGTATAACTATACTTATAACTATTATTAGAGCTATCAAGCTTACTATTGAATATAGTCAATAGTAATTTTCAGAATCAAGTCCTTCTCTACACGAAGTGTTTCCAAAACTGACGGTAAATGTTTACGATTAATATAGACAGATTCTTTGTAATATTTTAAGACAAAAAAGTTTAGTACAAACATGTCGAGACTACGCTAGTTTTTGAGTGCTTTTTAATTGTAAAATTACTAAACACTTTTACGCACATAGCGACACAAGTTGAGTTCCAATTACCGTAGTTGTCGACACACCATTACACATCCGTACTCAATCCGAGGACTACTAGTCGGCTATGTAAGCCTCTGTTTTCTAGTGACAATTACATGTTACTACTGGCTATAAATAAAGTTGGAGGACGTTGAGTGGCCGGTACTTTTGCTTTTTTTTTATTTAATACAGGCGGAAAAAGCTACAATTAATCTAACTCTATCCGAAATATATCGAAACCACGCACAGCATACACATTGTGTTCCAATTGAATCGTGTACACTTTGTGCATTTCTATGTACATTTGTGTTAAGATATGTTAAGCAATTGAAGAGCAGTCTTTAATGGGAAAAGTTTAAAAATTACGAAGACAAAGCTAGAATTTCGCGCGCTCAGAAATGCACGGTGAAGGCGTTTTCTCAATGTAAAGATGATGATTCCTTAAACTTTATGCCTTTGATAATAATAAAATTCTTTACGCAAACACACACTGATCATTTTGCCATCTCTGAGCGAAATTCTAGTCTCGTAATTTGCTGTTTGATCTATTATAGCCTCGACATTTTTGTATTAGACTTTTTGCTTTAAAATGTTAAAAATATTTGTCTTTAAAATTTATTTATTGGGGCAGTTCTGGGACACCCTATATAGAAAAAATAAATTTAATAATTACGACTTTTTATACTAAAAAAATACTAAATTTTAATAAATGTTTTAACATCAGTTTTTTTTTGTTGTGTAAATATTATTATAAATAAATTATTTACTATAAATAAATATTTATTTACATTAGTACTATTCAAAGAAATATGTATTAAGATTTAATAAATTTTTTTCAATGTATATAGTTTATTATATTTATAAAATTTTATTTAATTTCTATGTTCACAAAGAGTCATCTTGTTTTTACAATAATAATAATAATTTTTACTGCAATTTCCATAAAAAAGCAAATAGTATAATCTTCTATACATCTAGGTAGTGTAAAAAAAAGTATAAAAAATTATTAGTTTGTTATTTATAAATATTTTCGCAGTATGAAATTTTTTACAAAATATTTTTTATTCAAAATATATATTTTCAGAATTGGAGAGCGATTTTATTTTACAAAAAATATTCGTCCAATATATTTTATATACATATAGCTTATAACCAAAAATTATAATAAAAACAGATTGAATAAAAATTATTGCCTGTATATTGACGTAATATCAAGCATCAATACATGTCGGAGATCCAATGAAATTGGTGCAACCACGACAATTTGCGTGGACATAAACTAATGACAATGTTATTAGTTCCTTGAGTTTCTGAACGGAATTCTCCAATCAATATTCTCGTACGAGTTCTCAAATCAGATAATCCGGTGACTGAACCACTCATAATGAATATGATCGATTGAATTGGGACATCGCGTATGTGCGACGACACATATCGAAGATGAACCTGAAACGCGTCGCTAAAGCGATTTAGTCGCGGATTCTAAACCACGGTAGCGGCGTCGCGAATAGAAAGTTCGGAATGGAATTCACACGACCTCGACTGCGATTCTAGAGTTTCCCGAATTTTGGTGGCAATTAGGACCGATGTTCAATGGACGGTCTCCGGCCGGCGGATGGCACGACGAAGTTACGAGAGCGACTGGAAATTAGTTTGGGCGTCGAAATGTGTGAAGTGATAGGAGTGGTGAATTGTGATATTTATATTGTAATTCTATTATAAATCGAATATGTGTACATGCATATGTATGTACGTACCGCATTGTAAATTTAACACGTATGAACATTGCAATATCGATGAAGTTCCTCTTATTGCGTACTTCAATCGTACTTCGTTTATTTAACTTTTACTCAGCAACACGCACACGTTTGATATGTGTTGCGCTAAAATTTCTAGTAAACACAATAGTTTCGAAATTTAAATAAATTTAAATGTGTTCTTTTTGGACCGAGTCTACTTTTTGGCGAGTCTTTGACATGTCATTTTTGCACTTTTTTCATTAATTACATCAAATGATTGACGCAATCATAGTTTTATTTTATCTGATAATATTTTGACATTTCTAAAATGTTACTTCCACCTTAATAAACGAAAAATTGACGGCAGAAAAGCATTGAGGAAAGTAACGAGATCAAAGTCCAACTACAGAAATTCTACCCTGAAGCTTCCAGTGAAAAATGTTGGGAGCTTTCTGGCGGAAGGTAAAGTCACGTTGGAAGTCTTAACTTACACCGAGCAAATGTGTGTTAAAAGAACCGTAAAGATTTAACTCGTACATTTTATACGGAGATAGTACTCTGCAGTCAACCATCTTATATTTATTAAGAAGCTTGGCTTGTGTTTATTGACGAGTAAGCTTTCGAAGAGAGAGCAAATTCAATATTATACAAATACACTTCAAAGCTTTTATGTTTCTCGAGTAAATAATACATCTCTTCTCATCCAGGTGTCCTCAAAGACGATTTCATTGACCGCATTCATTGATGAAAAAAAGAGAATTTTAAAGAAGAGCCTCATAGAGCAAGATTTGTGCAATGCATATTTTGTTTAGAATCTTGACATTTTTGTCACATAAGAAATCGCGAATGACACACGCGTTAAGCGAGTATCTGAGAATTCCACAGAAATTACTGGCGTTACAAACTGTTCCAAATCGCATGATTTCATATCGAAACTTTATAAGAAGAAATAATTCTACAGCTAATGATTTGTTACTTCTGAAACGTAATATTAACAAAGACATAATTGCGCGATTTGAACGAAGGAAGAGTACGCAGTCCAGTGAAAAGGATGACTCGAAACAACGCCACGAATGTATCGGGAATCATCGACAGTCTGCGGAATCCTGTGAAAAACCGCGCGAATGGCGTAGCGATGGTTATCAGATATCGACAGAAAATTATCAAAAGATTCGCGGCGACTTATTGAATCATGACGAATGTTACCAGTCGATTGAATCCAATTCCTCGAATTGCCCGGACAAATCTGTACCATACAACAATCAGCAAGCGTGCGAGTCACCGAAACACGAGTCTTATACATCGAAGCCAGCGACTCGAATAACGTCTGAGAAATGGATTCGCGGAAAACTAGCAACAGAAGGAAAGATTGATTATAAATGCAAGCCGAAGTCGTATATTTATCCGGACAACCGGGAAAAACTGATACATTTTACATCGTCACGAGGCAATTGCAAAGATAAGTCGAAGCAAACTGCATCTTATCCTACGCTATGTTCTAAATCGGAGACTTTGTCTTCCAAAAAAATTACATCGAATGAGAAGAAAGCTTCCCTTGTTAAACATAAAATACCAAAGAAATATCTTACATCAGATTCATACGAGTCTTACAGAATACCCGATCCTCCACCGCCAAGATATCCACATTGGAGTGAAAATCCACCGCCTTACTGCGACTGCTTGAAAAAGACGACTCGTTCATCCCTTGTTAAAGCCTCACCAATGATCTTCATCCCTGACAAGGGACCGCGGAAATCCCGTGCGAAAGACACTGTGTCACTTCCACGGAATATTCATGAGAATTCCAGCAAGAGCCCGAAAGGAAATGAGTGCGATCAAACAGATGCCAAGGCACTTCACTTGCAGAAGAGTGCATCAAAAAAATATACCACGATCTCTTTTGAGGACAAATGCGCTGCTTCTTTGACAATTCCTGCGCCTAACAAAATAATGGAATCTAAAATTCAGCACTTTCCAACGCTGACGAAAGACGGTCGTTGTTGCGTTGTGAAACCTGAAAAAAAATTTGTCACGCCGGACGTCGGCGATTGTAACCCTAACATGGCGAGTTTCAAATATCGATTGAGTAAATGTCCTGACGTTAAGGAAATGTGGGGTATCGGCATTAAACACGAGCCACCTGTTGACGTTAGTGTGCGACAAGAGCAAGGAACTCTTTCGTCCGACTATAAGAAGATAAAGAGATCAGAATCGCGTCGAGAAACTACAAGAAGAAAGAAGAAATTCAAGTCGCGGTTACCGAGGAGCGGATGGACACAACAGAAGTACAAGGTTCGCTTGAAGATTTTCCAGAAAAAAAATAGTCTCGATCCTTGTCTTCCGCGGATCGCCGAATTGATACAACCGCGCGGCGAAAAAATGCGGTCGAAACTGTCAAAGTTTGCTGTGGACGAAGGCGTATCTTTTTCGCAATTGAAAAGCCCGTGTCCACATAATTGTCCATCCAAGATACCGATTACCGAGACGAAGAGTTATCCGACGAAAATGTACGAAAGCAGTTCGATTCGCAATCAATTCCTGGGAAAACTTCCTTGCAAACAGCGTCGCTGAACTTTTGGAAACTACTTTCCGATGTAGAATATTTGAAAATTGTGTTGGCAGATTGAGTCAATATTTATTTTAAGAATATTCAAAATTTACATTTATTCTTTCAATATGTACAAACATAAACTTCAATGCATTGAAAATAAAAGGGAATATGTAAGCGCGAAATAAAGGAGCAGCACTTTAGTAACATTATTTTAATAAAAATAAAAATTTTGGTACAGCTTAGTTATATAGTTATTACAGTAAATTACATACAAAAAAAAGTAGTGCTTGCGCAACTAATATAATTATTTTTATAATTATCTTTAAACAATTATTTAATTTCGCTAAAATGGCAGAGTTTTTGCGATGATAGTAATTTCTGTTACAAAGAACGTTTAAAGTGCCCATTTAATTTATTTTACTTTCTATTTATATTAATAGGAAGTAGTATAACAGCGAATTTTAAGTGAAATATATGCACGAGACATGCTAAGGTGACATTATAAAGGTGTAGAATAGAGACATGCGGAAATGAAAAAATGCAGCTCGCGTGGCCTGAGACGGCTGCAAAAGAAGTCTGTTCGCAGCAGCTGGCCTCTAACTTTTCACGTTTATCATTATCTCACCCTCTCATCGTACACCCTTATTTTTGCACTCGGTGGAACAAACTTGCGCATCAAACGCCGTTGTTTTATGGCCGGTATACATTTTCATTTCTGTCGGGAAATGATATATCTCGTAGCTCTAATAAACGCGACTGAGGATTTAGTGAGCATTTATCTTGTCTACATCGGAAATAATGAGAAAAAATAAAAACGTACGAGTTTGTGTTAATCTAATTCTAATAATTAATTAGGCCTCTCGTGGTAGATTATAGATTTTTGCATCTTCTAATTCATGTTCTCTCGATTTTTTAATAGAAATTTCATAAAATATTAACGCTGTAAAAATGATAATAAGTTAAATACGTTTATTAATTATTGATTAATTTTCATAACTTAACAATAAGAGAAAAAAATGAGAGAGGAAGAGAGAGACAGTTGGGATTAAAATATAATATGTATGTAATCTTCTTATATATTTACGATGTACATTTCTTTAGAATTCTAAATTTGATTTATATATTCTACATTTATATACTTATATATTGTACATATATTTATATACTACAATATTTATATACGCTTACACACACAATTGGTTTTTCTTTCCACATTCATTTAATGAGTTCGTAATACATACAAGCAGCGGATGTTACATCGCTCCAGTGACTCAAAATTGTTACCTATTTAGAGGTACATTAACCTGCACTCGTTTTTCTCCGTCATTGAAATTACACGCGATTAAGGGGTACGGTAAAACAGCGGAAGAACGATCACTGCTTGTAATGTTCACGATTGTTAACTTCTAATTGAACATCAATGAGTAGCTTAAGTCGGTCGTTTTCTCTAACGGACTTGAAATAACGAAAACCACGGTGACATTTCACGGTACTCATACGGAACTATTAACATTGTTACAGATAAATGATGATTGGTTCCACATGGAGCATCGATCCGTGGCGAAGAGGTCGACGGAACCACATCTCGAAATGCACCAAAGGCTAATGAATGACTTCAGAGTACGTCGAGCGGAGCAACAGCGGGCAAAATCGCGTACTAAAAGGGATCTTATAATCAAACGTCCGTCCAATATACTAACCATGCTAAACGATGAGAGGTGGCCTCAGATGTGGTATTTGGTAAGCAATTTTAATCAACAGCAAATAATGTTTACTTATCGGTGCAACCGATAAATAATTTTATCGCATACAATATTCTGTTGTATTACGTTGCACCGATAAATAAACACATATGATTTTAAACAGTTAAAATATCAAAGACAAAAATATAATATTTAAATAGAAAATGTAATAAGTAATTTATATAACTGTACCTTTTTAATACCAAAAAGGCACACACACACACACACACTTATATTTATCAGAAATATATTACAAACTTAGAAAAACGTTTGCAAGTTTACATTTAATTTAACAATAATTTTATACCTTCCATATTATCGATAAACGTAAAAAGTGCAAGAGCGTTTTATGAAACTTTTTTGAAAGAGCAATTAACAAATACAGTATAAATTAAATAATACAATGAAAAATTAAAGAAACTACAAAGTGAGTTCAATCGATATCGAGTTAGAAAGGGCGCCGACGTTTCCATCGTAAATGAAGACTCACGACCGGAAGTAGTACGTCGAAAGTATTGGATAATTTTTCTTTTCAGAATAGAGGAAAGGGGTTAGACATGAACGTACAAGGTGCTTGGGCTGAAGGAATTACAGGAAATGGCGTCGTCGTCACAATTCTTGACGATGGATTAGAAAAAGATCATCCAGATCTTTTTAAAAATTACGTGAGTATATTTAGGTATTTTACTACCTTTTTTTTTAAATTTATTAACCGGATTTAAAAAAAAACTGATTTCTAGCGTGATTATAAAGCAAACATATTTGTAATATTAAAAAGTTCTGTATTTAACTTACGTTTAAAATATTACGAACTGGAGAAGCAGTCAGTTCAAATAAATTGCGTTTTGTAATTTCTTGTGACAGTCCTGGTAATCTTGTGAAGTAGCTTTCTATTTGATTAAATTTACGCGAATAAGTAAAATCGCAAGGGCTTAATATCTACTTAATGTTGCTCGATGAACGAATGTTCGATGAGTAATACGTTTGCGACATACAAAAAAAAAAAAAAAGAAAAGCGAGGAAAAGTTCTAACAGAACATACAATAGAATATGGCGGATGAAGGCATATCACGGACGCACTGGGAGTATCAGCTCTTGAACGCGAATATTGGAAGGGGGTTATCCAGCCCATGTATACGTATACCAAATAGTTATTGATTCACGGATGGTTACATTGAATGAGGCATCTGCGCACGTAGTAGAAAGTAAATCGTATTAATCAATCAATACGCACGCTGCGATGGTGCGCCTTAGAGCGTTGCTCTGATTATGTGAGCTTATATCCCGTCGCATGTATTTCTCATTATGCAGATGATGCACTAATGAAAAGGTATTAAGAAGATATCCGGATGTGCGTGATCAGGGATTAAAACATAATACTTCGTTGCTCTAACGACAATAACGTCTAATTATTATAATATCTCTACAAATATTATCTATTCGAAAGATTTTTCTACATTAAAAAAAAACAGAAATTTATTTCGCTTATAACAATTTTTAACGTATGT